ATTTGAAATCATTAATCAATCATCATTGTTAGACCACCATTAGAAACCTGGAAGCACTGGACGGCCGTTTCGTCCTAGTATGGGACTCCTCAGCAGTGCGCATCCACGACTCCTGCTCCTCGCAGGATTCGAACCCGGGACCTTTGGCATTGTAGGCGAACGCCTTACCATCGGACCACTGGGCCGGCATCCAACGGTGTTAATGTCTAACTCTGATTGATCTAGGGATTTTGCGCGACCTCACCCATTTGTCTTTGGTAGTTACTGCCTACACCCGACAGGGTTGAACTCCACTGGTCACGTCTTCTCAACTAGAACTCCGAGAATTTCCTCACGAAGCTAGTCACTAGTGAGCACTGTTACATTATATTGGGGCACAGTTTTGGAGGTTCGCGTTTTTACACATTTGAAATCATTAATCAATCATCATTGTTAGACCACCATTAGAAACCTGGAAGCACTGGACGGCCGTTTCGTCCTAGTATGGGACTCCTCAGCAGTGCGCATCCACGACTCCTGCTCCTCGCAGGATTCGAACCCGGGACCTTTGGCATTGTAGGCGAACGCCTTACCATCGGACCACTGGGCCGGCATCCAACGGTGTTAATGTCTAACTCTGATTGATCTAGGGATTTTGCGCGACCTCAAGACAAATGGGTGAGGTCGCGCAAAATCCCTAGATCAATCAGAGTTAGACATTAACACCGTTGGATGCCGGCCCAGTGGTCCGATGGTAAGGCGTTCGCCTACAATGCCAAAGGTCCCGGGTTCGAATCCTGCGAGGAGCAGGAGTCGTGGATGCGCACTGCTGAGGAGTCCCATACTAGGACGAAACGGCCGTCCAGTGCTTCCAGGTTTCTAATGGTGGTCTAACAATGATGATTGATTAATGATTTCAAATGTGTAAAAACGCAAACCTCCAAAACTGTGCCCCAATATAATAAAATACAAATATTATCATCTCAAAATGGAATCGAACAGACTAACAAAATGTACAACTGAAAGAATCAATAAGCACAAATTACAGATGTATGCATGGAGGGATTTTCACAAACAAAGCCTTCGAAAATGGATCTTACACTCTTCATGAAGTACCATCAGCCAGAGATCAAATGAAAACCTTGGAAAATGATTAGATAGTTGTTTCGTAATAGTTTGAGACTGTTCACTAATTTGTACACACACACACATAGTATCAAATCTGTAGACTTCAAGTATTTCTGATGTTGCGATTGTAGTGATACCTTCAAAAAAATATCGATATGTATTTTCATTGAGTTATTTAATAATATCTCTTCTTTACATCCTCTTGAAATATGTATATACAAAATTACATTGTGTTCAGTGAACAATGGTCTAATTTACTTAGTCTGATACTTTCAAAATGAAATATGAATAGTTTATAACCATTTTGTTGAAATAACATAAAGTTTGTAAAATTCGAAATTCAGTAATAAAATTTATTTAAGCCGAAAAAATTCCACTTCTCATCTTTTCATGGCCTTCATATAATTGAAATCGTCAATCAACCATTGTTAGACCACCATTTGAAACCTGGAGGCATTGAACGGCCGTTTCATCCTATTATGAGACTCTCCAGCAGTGAACATCCCCGACACTCACTTGCGGAAATCGGACCCAGATTGAGCCGGGGTCTAACGGTATTAATGTCTAACCTTTGATCAATCTAAGTTTTTGCACAACCTCACAGTTTTTCATTAGACTTATTAAATAAAACATTTAGATTGTCCATTTTTTCTCCAAAATTACAATTCCTTAATTCTTTTTACTGTTCTTTGTTAATTTTTTTTCCCGAACTTTCAAGAAAATCTCTGGTTACGTAACAATGACTGGTGAAGGCAACTGAAAAGGTGATATGGTCAATCATTTGATGTCATTACTAGTATAGTAATGGGAAAACATTTGAAATCTTTGAAACTATTAGTCAGTGTTATTTTATCAGATTTTGGCAATTCACCTCGCTCACACAACTTCTGTTTTGTATATCTTCTAGCAGAATGAAACGCAGATACATTAAAATTTGTGTAAAAAAGTTCTTCAATACATTTATTTCGTGGTGAACAGTGTATTTCACCTAGGTTTACATGCCTTTTACATACCTTGTTCACACTGTTACGAACACCAAGAGGTACCTGTTAAAAAATAATGAGTGTCTGCACGTAAATCGAATACCGGATTCAACAAATAATACTGAATAACATCATTATTATTATCATTATAACTGGTTTTTTTAATCGAACAAAACATTATGTAATACAGTATATCCTAAAATCATGTTATGAATAGTATTTTGGAAATAAATGTTAAAATAATCATAATGTTCATACAGACTGAAGTAACTGATCCAATGTTGAAATTTGAATGTTAGCATAAAACAGTACACATAACTATCATTAACTATCAGATTAAAAGTAACAGTATACCAATGTATTAGAGCTTTTTAGAGGTAGGACTAAAAACATAACATGAATAATTCAATTATATATTACTTATAATCATAAGTAGTATAATAGAAACAAAATGTATCGAATAAATGATTATAAAGAAATTATTATCTGCAGAAAAAAAACATGTTGCTCATATTTATAAGAGAATAATCTGAATATAATAATATTAGATAATAATAAGAATGTATTTTAGTCAAGTCCATCAGGTAAAATATACAAACTTTCAGTTTATCTCTTGTTTTAATCAATCGTTCAATATTTTCGAAGCCGCGAAAATTGAAAAAAACATACTGTATAAACATTTAAAAAATAAATTAAAATGAACACATAAATAGAATTTATGGCTAAATATTGTATATTGTATTTTTGTTAGTGGTAATAGTAATAATAATAATAACGTCCTAAAAACAATAATTGTAATAAGTATGTCAGTAGTATAATATTTTTAAACATTTTAAGGCCTAAGAACATCTGGATCACCTTTTTGTGATAATTTTTTCAAATGGTACCTAGATGACAATAGTGGTTGTTGTTTTCTGTCTTGAAATTGTTTACGTTTACGAGAATCAATAAGATTACTTGATTTTAATGAGTATTTGATTACACGTTGAATACTACGTTTATTCAATTTGCGTGGGTAATATTTGGTTTGATTTATCTGTGCTGAATCTGTTAAACGTGTAGCCACTGATACTCCTTTTGTACCTCGGCCACGAAATACTAAATGTGAATGTTTTCTTGCTTGTTCATTATCAATACAATGTTTTCCATCATACATAAGCTGATAACCAGGTACACATTGACAATGAAAACCTCCAGGTGTATTTTCACAAATTCCATAATCTGGATCACATGGTCTAAGACGTACACATTCATCAATGTCTAAATCACATTGTATACCCTCATAGCCACGTGTACATTCACAAAGATTACCAGGTCGACAAATACCACCATTTTCACATGGAGGATTACAAGAAACATTGTTTTCTTTCTAAACAAACAGAAGAGACAAAAGATTCATATTAGTAATAACCTAAAATCTATGAATGTTAAACAAATGAAGAAATATTTTTATAATATTTTATACAGTGGAATGCAGTCTCATTTAGGACATAATAAATGTCCTAGATTACACTAATAGCCGCTTACTAACTTGATAAGCAAAGTGAGTATTTAAGCACACAAAGTTCGAAATGAATTATTCATAAGTAACACGTGCACTCGCTACTTACTATGCTTTATAATAAAAATACTTACCAAGTAGTTCTAGTTGGAAGTTTTGACTAATAGAGTTTAGCCTTAACATGATCAAGATGGATACCTACACTTACACCTAATCATCATCACACTATATTGAAGAATGTCAAGATGGTAGACAGGCTAGCAAATGACGCACGGTTTATTAGTCTAATAGTTACATGGTCACAAAGAAATCCGAACGCATTTAGCTCAATTTCATGTAATTTCATTACTGTGTACCTATATTAAAACGAAACAACTATTCAGTAATTTCTAATCCACAGTATTTCTCCAGTTAATATTTGTTCATTCATCTAAAGCTTCTTTAGGAGTTATTAAAAAAGCCTCGACAAACTATTAAACTGAAAAAAATAAACATTATAGTATAACTTGAAATTAACTTGTAACATATTAAATACTGACGTGTTAAGATTTTAAATTTCTCAACGTTGTATCTTTTATTCCAAAATTATACCTTCAGTAAAATGTTATATCCCTCTCAATAATGTACTTTTTCAAATGCCATTTATACAAATTCCAGTCAACTAATCAACAGTTAACATCAATTATTCTAAATAATATCATCAAATAACATTTTCATACAAATGTAATTCGATAACATTTGCAAACTGAATACTATGTTTAAATGAAATGAAATGAAAAAAAACATACGTTTGAAAAGTAAAACTATGTTTTTACAAGATTAAATCATACATAATCACTGGCCTGTTTATTACTTGTATTATTGATTCACATATTACCAAACAAAGAAATATGTAGTTCATTAATTATTCCTAGTTTCTTGATCTTATCAGTATATATTCAATGATTTTGCTTTAAACTATGCTTTATAATATTTTCAACTTTATTTTTAATGATTATTTCGACTAGAATTTCTAAATCAAGTACTTTAAATCAGAAAAAAAACTAGCAAGTTTTAATTCTCTATCGCTTTCATGATTTAGTTTGTTTTTTTCTGCAGAGATTAGTCAAGTGAAAATCATACCATGTTCAATGTTGAATAAAATGATTTTGTGGTATTGTGGTGTGAGCTACTTATAAGTAGTATATGACGTGAGTGTCAACGTAATGTCTGGCAGCAGAAGATGGGGGAAGATCAAGAAAGGAAGAGTTAGAATTTGTATGAAACACATGAATAGTGACAATGGATTGATGTTTTGCAACAGGAACAGTCCAGTTCGATATGATGGACTGATATTTTGCAAATGAACGATCTACGATATGGCTTTCCGATTTTACTGAGTAACTCTGTAATTTTCGTGTTGTAATATGTTTCACTTCCATAACGAAAACACTATAGTGTTTACTAACTACTACCTTAGAGATCAGTGTAGCAAATCATCTGGAGAAGAGAATAGTTTTCAAGGCGGTGGAATTTGTTGGAAATTATACTATATTACAAACTTCCGATCAGTTGATTCTAGATCGGTGTTCGTTAACATTCATACTGACCGCCATGTCAAATGGTTGAATGTTAGCTATTGTGTGTTTTCGAGAATCAGCCTTGTTATAGGGGTCACAAACTTAAAACACACTCAAGTTTATTGGTGAATAGTTTGTATAGATTGATCTGTCAGGTCATATGATATGATTTCGAACAATAATGTTGGAAACGATATCAACTGTGCACAATTAACCAACGTAGAGTAAGTAATGTTAGATCCAAAGTATTTTATTCTTGGTAAAAGTCAGTCAGTTAGATGCAACGTGGAACTTCGTACGTAAGTTCATCAGTTCATGTTACCATACCACATCAGCACAGAGATATAATTTTCAATTCAAATCCAATAGTAGAAGAGGTAGTAAGGGTATTAGAAGTAATCGGAGAGGTTAGGATTAGAAGATGTTGTTCACGAAGAAAGTCAAAACTTGTGGTGTTGAACAATCCAGAAGATTAGGATTTGAGTGAACACAAAGCATAAATGCACCGACGCCATTGCGAACGGTTTTGAGCCATGTCATTCAGGGTCTCTAAACATCGATTATTATCATCTCGCGGACCCCAACCAGGTAGTCGAAAACTACCGACATGGCTCAGTCCACTTGTCAATGATTTCATGGATTTCTGCCATGTTTTGGTTTTGCCACTCCTAGCTTTCTTCTGGCCTACTTCTACACTACAAAACAAAGCTCGTCGAGACAGTCTGTGGTTAGGCATACATAACACATGTCCCAACCACCTCAACTGATGAAGTTTCATTACTTCATCTATTGATCTGCCATTCTTACCTAGCACCCGTTTCCTAATAACAGCGTTGGGAAACGGGTGCTAGGTAAAATGACTACCTGTTAGTGGGACATAGATTGGATTAAAGCATAATAGAGTTGCTGCACGCTGATTGGCTCTTTCGCATCTAATTAGCGCCAGTCAATACTGAGGGAACATTCTAGAATCTTCTCATGTAAGAAAACTTTGGACCTTTGAACCTTCTCTCTTTCATTTAACTTTTTTATTGAGATATAATCTCTATTTCCTGTTCAACGTGTCCTGATTTAGGCGGAAGTCTCGAGTCAATTGGTGTCCGAGAATACTAAGCATCAGGAATAGCTGGGTTGTAATATAAAGAGAGAATTATAACCCTAACCAAAGCCTGATGATTAAAATTCATTTCAATTTTCAATTTTTAATTATACAAAATATAAATATTTTACATTCATTCGTGACATAATTAACGCTAAACCTTTTACTCTTTTTTTTCGTTTTCATAATTCTGTAAAACTCTAACCACATTGATTCAATCCTTACAACTGCAGTCCATTTTTTTGCATGATAATCATGAATCATATATTTGAAACATCTATTTTTTTTCCCTAACAGGTGGTTAGCCTTTAGAAATATTTATTGAAGACTACAAAAGAAAAATGTATTTCACCTACAGAATATAACATACAGTAGGAGTTGCTTAAAGCAATCCACTGTATTTTACCAATTAACTATTTGTTGTACAGCTGTAAAATTATGCATATATATATGTGTATATATATCATTGTTTTTACATGTAGAATGCAAATAATTTTCGAAAGAATTTCATTGGTACAGATGACAAATGTTTCACATCTTATGATGTCGGTGAATGTTTCTTTTTTTTAGAAGATAAATTCTTTCTCAACTACACAGGGCATAACAAGTTGAGTATATGGATGATGTTGCCTGTTTCTTTTTGACTGAATCTTTACAGAACAATCGCAATAGTGTGTTTAGCAAAAAGGTTAATGAGGTGACACTAGTAAGAAAAAAATGACATGATTCAATGATAGTTAGTGTTAAAAAACTGGAATATTACTCATAAAATTCACGCGTTCTTATAATTCTTTAAAATAGTATTTTATACGATCATGGAAATATTTAGCAGCACATTCTTGTTAATTTTGTACATTAGTTTATCGATAAATCTAGCCCAAAGTAAATCTGTTTGATCGTGAAAAATTATGTTATAGTTGACTGTAGACTGATTAGAAGTTTTAGTACTGAAAACTTCAATTATCAAAACTTTTCAATCTTTACAATCAGTAGAATTATACTTTGAGAATATTCTCACTGTACAACTATTATAGAAGAGCAAAAAGTCGTAAATAATTGTTAGACCACCATTAGAAACCTACAAGCACTCGATGGCCATTCCGTATTATTATGAGACTTATTAGCAGTGCGCATCCACGAGTCCCGCTACTTTCAGGATTCGAACACGGGACCTTGGGTCTTGCTGACGAAAGCCTAACCTCTGAACCATTGGGCCGGTATCCAGCAGTATTAATGTCTAACTTTATCAGTCTACAGATTTTATGCAACCCCGAATCATTTGTCTTTGATAGTTACTGCCTTTACTCGATAGGGTTGTACTCCACTGGTCACGTCTTCTCACTAGAACTCAGAGAATTTCAATGTGAAAAGACAATGATCTTCATAACGCCAAATGAAGAATAAGCAAGAAGTATTTTGGCTGGTTAACTAAAGCATTAAGGCAAAGCATTTGTTATTCTATGATTTGATGTTAAGAAATACTTGGGTTTGCAAGTTGTAAATATTTCTGATTGTCATACAAAGGAAACCTGTGGTAGAATGAGAACCAAATGTTGAAGTTCAGATGTGTTTTAAGTCAAACATGGAGAAATTCCAATGCTTCACTTCTATCTGAAGTTTGTGCTGACGATGTTGTTCAGAAGAACAATGAAAGGTCCAAAATCAAAACATCCAGCTCAGAGAACGAAACACCATCACGATGTGTTTTATCATTAAAACAATGCAATTACATGCAAGTTATGTAAATTTCACAACTTTGCACTCTAAATACACTGAATCATTTCGAAAGAGGGTAAAAAATTTAACAACTTCTACAACAAACATAAGTAGGTTTATAAATGAAAATGCTTACATGTAATTATTAATAATGAAAATCTTTGTGAAACTACTCTTAAGGTATATGTTTTAAATCTTGGGAACATTTTCAATCAAAAAAGTCAACATAATTCCTGAAATGCATCACTGTGTATATTAACGCATATTGACGAATACTAACGACACCATTACTTTCAATAACTTAATCCTAATGTTATCAGATTAAGACATGAAACTACTTTGATATGTCCAATACAATCAATATTACATAAAAATTTATTAATATTACATAGAGCAATTAAATTTATGATTAAGTACCTTCGAAGATAGTGATGTAATATTATGAATGGCTTAGATTTAAACATAATAGCCTTCGAATGTTAACTCAGTAGTCT